CTCCTCGAATATCCGATATAAAATTACATGAAACTGATATTGATAATAAAGTCTATTGTGTGCAATAAATTATAAATCTTAAACATTGAAAGTATTATTTTCCTCAACATAAATATTTTAATAAACCTCACGATTGATTGAGTGTTCTTATCATCATACGATCTATATTCAAGTTCAGAAAAAAAAGGTGTCAAGAGTGATACGTAAGTGACACATAAGGATGACATAGTCAGTTTTTCTACATGACAATGATAAGTACCTCATGTATCATTTTCATAAAGCTCTTGACCTCTTACTATTATTATTGTACTAATTAAATTAACYTAAGATAAATATATTCAATAAATTAATAATACATTTCTACCCATAACTATCATATTACAGTTTTATAATTCTCCTAATAAAATACATTTTTGGTGTAATAGCCCAAACTCATAAAAATTCATATTAYAATGATACACATCAAATTAATATGCTATTATTTATAATATTATAATCAAATTTGTTCGTGAAATAATATTTTTTATTTAAAATTCGATGATAATATAAATTTAACTTAAGGCTTTAAACCGTTTTAATGTGTAAAGTATTAATATTAAATTAATTTCTTTAAACGAAAACAAAAGTTTTTTTGGTACCTATTCTGTATGAAAATAAAAATTGCAACAATGAAAACAATAATGAAACAAAAGAAAATATTAAACACTAGAAAAATATATTTCATTTATTTGGGTACGTTTTGATTACATCCGTAAAATAATTTAAATGAAAATATTTTAAGTTGAATGTACAATTTAAAAATGAGTATAGAAAGTTTTTTAATTACATTTAAGATAWAACATTAGTGTTTAGGTGTGTTTACTATTTCGTCTATTTCCTTGTATTATTTTAATGTTAATACCAATTGAAAATGTATTGTAACCAGTGTCGAATACGCTTAGAACATTATTTGTGAGAATAAATCTAAATGTTAATTCAATTCTATGTTTCTTGAAATTAAATTAGTGTATAAAAAAAAATATTAAATTAATATTTAAAATAACCTATATATTATGTTTATAGTACCTAAACTATATTATTATGATTTTTTAAAATATTACTTAAACAATAAGCTACGAGTAGGATGTAAAACACATATTATAAAAAACTTGTTTTTAAATTATAATTATATTTTTATACATATAGATCAAATTCAAACTAATACTTAATAAACATTTTTGTAATTTCCATTGGATGATTATCGCAAAGAATTGGTTAATAAATAATGAAACATTTGACTTAAATATTTTGATTTAAATAATTTATAACAATGTTGAATATTACAATACGCCCTAAACTGTATATTACTCGTAGATAGCATTCAGAGCAAATTTGAAGCGTGGCCGTGTTATTCATTTTTATATTATACAGACTAATATTAGAAATATATTTTTAAAATTATTATTTTTTATCACCATATGCACATACATTTAATCATATTAATATAGTAAACATAAGTAAATTTTTCGTCACTGAAATGACGTCTTATCATATTTAAAACTTGTATTATTTAGGTAAGAATTGTACAGTATACGTAATATAAGCTGATAGTATATATTATATTATAATTAGACATTTGGCAGTAAAAATCGATACCTACATAAAATAATCTATTCATTGGGAGGTAATGTGATTATTTTATGATATAGCTATTTAAAATATGAATAAATTTAAAAAGAGGTCAATGAGTCAAAAAGATTGAAAATTATTAAAATAAACTACCTAATACAACAAAATAATAATAATATGTCAACCTTTAAAGTTTAAACTATTTAAGGGTCTAAATTATAAGTTTGTTAACGTAAACATTGGATATACAATTACGAATTAAATAATCTATGATTCTTTATTTGTTCAAATATCCTATAATTCTTTGAAGTCATTAAAAAAAAAAATACAAAAATAGATATAAATATAACATAAAACCCTAAACGTTAAAGCTGTTATAAAATAAAAATTTTATTTTAAAAGTACCGGTTGTAATAGTACAACTTCAAAATTGGATATAGCATGCAAAAAAGTCAGAATTTGCATACCAACATATATTTTAAGAGTCTGTTCGAATAGCTTTCCATTTTTTAGAGTGGTCTACCCAAAAAATTTTACTTTTTCATCAATTTATATAGATAAAAATGATTTATCTCAATCCAAGATGCACGTAGGTTATTCTTTCAGTAGTTAAAAAATATCTAAAATTACATTTTTTTTTCTTGACATTATATATATAGTTCCTCAAAAGTTTTTACTAAATGTTTGTAAAAAAAAATAGCTCAATGCTCCATTCAATTTGTATGAAAATTTGAAAATAAAGTTTTGAAAACTAGGAACTAATAAATAAATATATTTACTCTTGGTCTTAGTTCAGAACTGTTAAGTCTGAAAAATATTTAATTGATAACTTAAGTTATACATGGTATTCAATTCGAACAAACACTTTTTAGTGATGGAATACAATTTGGATGCTTCAAATTATATTTATTTTTTTTTGTATTTCGGATACACCGAATTTCACGTAATTTCGTACCTATAAAACGGTCTAAAATATTATATACATTCTCCGTTAAATATAGGAGAAGCGTTTAAATAAGGTATATACTTAGAATAAACTATTTTTCTGAATCTTATAGTAATTTATGATATAGAATTTTTATTTTTTTATATTAGCTTTTTGTAGTATATTAATTATAGCTCAACAATGTTAAAAATAACAATTATGCAAATATAACATTTATGCAATTGGTGATATAGAATTATTTTGTTATTTTTATTGATTCAATTGCTTTTTAAGAGGTTGGAACAAAAATATATTGTAATCTGTGAATATTTTACATAGCTTTATATTATTCTAACAGTATAATAAGGCTATCACTATCACTCTCGTTATTGTAGATATCAATGTACACAATGTGAACTGATTCCTTATTATAATAAATTCTTATTTCTAAATACTAACACAATTTATTTTATAAAACTATTAGGATTTTGTAACCTAATTTAAAGATTGTTATCTTTTTTACTGTTATTATTATTACTTTCTTTAAAAATTGTAAACTGTTAAACTGTATAGGTAATATTTTTGGTAAACCATTCAATAACATTTCTAAAATAATCTAAGATGGTTGGGTCGTTGAACAAGGTCAAGTCACATTGAAGCAATAAATAAATGAATCATTACTTCATTAGGTACTTATTATTATAAACTCGAAAGCTATATTATGAATAAATTATGGTTTAAAACATATTGTACTAAAAATAAAATCCTTATAACAAATTAAGAATACWATACCTTGGAGAAATAATTTCACACAACTTTTTAAACTATATTAATTAAAATATAAATTCGGGTAAAAATGCTTGACATTTTTAAAATAAAGTATAAGAACAAAATACAAATTATAGAAATACACCATCTAATAAATACTATTAAAATATTAATGCCAGCCTGTAGAAGCGTGAAAAAATCATTGAACTTTAACGAATTATTAAAAAAAAATAGCCGTGCGTTAAACAGCTCAAACATTTAATTGTCACACTATTATATTGGTCACCGATGATTGATCCATACAATTTTGATGAGCMGTTAAATTCAACATATTTTCGTGCAGATGCCTTTAAAACTAAAATTATTTAACAACATACTATAATACTTTGTTTAAAATTAAAATATAATATCCATAAATTACTAAAATTTAACTATTTTGTAAACAATAACGGGTTTCTGACGTTTCTGTACATAATATTATTATGTATTTTAATACTTTGAAAAGCRTTATAAAATTCGTTTTCGTTTATCATCTATACAAGACAGCCTAAAGCCTCAAAACTTTTATTTTAATCTTAAGAGGTTCATCGTGGATTTAGTATTTTATACATCAAAAACTAAATTATTGTGAATGTACCTGTAGATAGTAAAAAAAAAAAATGAATTTTATGAGACAATAAATTAATCTTAGTTGATTTATGAACATAAATTTTATGTTATTAATTTTATTTTTATAGATACGTCATGCTACAATAACAAAATATCCAACAAGTGCTGTTAATTCAAAGAAAACGCGACTCACTATARCATAAAATGTATACAAATTTTAAAAATTTGTAAAAATTCCAAAAAAATTTTTTTACGTTGTAATATATTTTATCGCATTAAAAAAATAAAAGTTTCTATAATTTTAAAATAATAGGTATTTATTAATTTCTATACTCATACTAAACCATTATATTATTTATTTATGTAAGAAACGCCACATTAATAAATATATAATTAATCATTTTTACAGGTTTTTTATGGGCATTATTAGAAATATCACATTATAAATTATAATTTTATTTCTGTATTCATTCCCTAAATTAATAATTATATATCAACCTTTTATTTTATTTTTATTTTTTTGAAATATTCGTAAGTGATACTTGAGTCTCTGTAACATTATCTAACATTTAAATAATGTCTTCAAATATGAAACATATCTATTACTAWTAAGTCTCTAATATACAATAACAAAAAACTTTAATTTTATAATTTTGTGGAAATTCTAAAAAAATCGAATTTTAATGTCATACAAATAACTTTGTTAATATGCAAATATAGCTTATTAATAGCGTTATATAATAAAGTCCAACTAAGGATACCTGCCCTTCAAAAATCTAAATTATAATTTAAAAAAAAATTACAACAGCCAATATCGATATAACACAAAATTAGTTTGGTTTGTAAATTTTTAATTTAATTAAACGCGTGACATGATTGATACAAATAATACMAACGATCCGATTAATCAAAGAATACACATAGAGAAGGAGATATAAACGTCTTAATTGTACTGTATATACGAATAGATAGTTACATAGGTAGGGTACATATAACCACCGTGACACACTATTGTTCCTCTATATATAATGTGTATATTGTGAAAATGTGAAAGACCCGAATACGTTTCGGGTAATCAAAATATACTCACTYAAAATTCTATCGTCTCCGCGTAATCCATTCACAAGAACAATATAATATTATATCGACGGTGAAGAAAATGTTATAAAAAAAACGAATAAACAGACAAGCACGCAGCGCGAACTGACGATATCACCACAAGTATAAACAATATTCTCAAAAGCGAACACGGTGATATTATGCGAGATTAAAAACGACCGAAAACAAAAATGGTATTATATAATAATACGTATATATTTCCGTAGCGAGACGAAAAGAAACGCGGGGGGAGGAGATTGCAGTGATCGGTAGTCGGAAATGAACAAGAAATAAAAACAAAAGGAATTCGTCGTCGACTATGAAGACGACGTGAGGAATACGAACGTGGAAAAAAATAGATCGCGAGAGAGTGAGAGAGAGAGAGAGAGGAGTTGAACTGACGTGAGATGAACTGGTGTTAAAAAGGCGCGCACACTGGGACGGCGCGGTGGCGGTAGTCGCGAACGACGCGGGCGGCACACACAGACTGAACTCGAGCGATACGACTACGGCGGTGATGGCGGCGTTTTGTATTTGAGTATGCGTGTGTGTGCGTACCTATACATCCTGTTGCGCCGGCCACACACATACACGCACGCGCTAAATGTTGGCCGATTGTCAGCGTCTCCGAGAATAAGAGGACACTGTATAAGTATGTAAATGCAAATATATAGAGATCGGTAACTATATGGAGGTATCTAAATAATATWATATTATTACTATAATAGAATAATGCAGAATATGGATCCCTGATGATTTATACGTATTTGCAGCGGAGTCCTTCCCCCAGCAATTGGGACTTTGTTCTATATATTTTAAATATTGTATCTAAAATAAAAAATATATATTGTTAAATTAATATTAAATTAGGGCTGGAGTAGCAGCGGTAGCTGGTGATATCTATAACGCGGTACAAATGATAGAGGTATAATATTATTATATGTATAGTCATCCACCCTCTCCATCACCATTATTGTTGTCAAACACAAAATAACGATCACTGTGCTTGGAGTTAATAGGCCATTCTCGCAACTGCCTTTAATAATATTACATTATATAATATATTACAATGCAATAATAATTGATGACATAGATTTGTTATATTATTTCACACTCCAGCTGTATTATTATAGTAGTTGTTATATTTAAGGCGTGCACGTGTATTTTATTATAGGTAATTCAAATACTATTTTAACTACTTTATATACTATAAACAATACAAGCGATCGATGCAGAGTTTAATTAAAGTAATTGAGACACACACATATCTTAAGAAAAAAATACTCACGTATGTACAATAAAACTATATATATAGGACCAATCTAGAGCTCGAATTAAAAGAGGGGACGCAGTGGAACAGATCTCTTATACTACTACTATTTATATATACAGGGTGCCCCGTGAGGATTTACCCTTTGCGATATCTCCCGAAATAATGGTCGAAATTCTGGTTTTGTAATAAAACTCACAGGGATAAGAACTATAATTATTTTATATTTACATTTTTTAATGTTTTGATAAAAAGTTAAAAAATATATTTTTTTATTTAATTATTTCAAAAAAAAATTAAAGATGGCTATTTTGTTGAGTTTATTTTTCTGAAAATATTGACGTTTCAAAATTTTATTTTCATTAATTTCCTGTTTTTTAATATTTTTTTAAGTTTCGAGAAAAATTACGAATTATTGAACACCGTWATGTTATCAAACATGTGACCCGCAACGCCGAGCGCATTCCCATACGGCYGGCTGAATACTTTCCGTGTTCCTAATAGCTATACATTAATTATAATCATGTTTAATTTCTTCAAAACTAGAAAAAATATTAAAAAACGGAAAATTAATGAAAATAAAATTTTGAAACGTCAATGTTTTCACAAAAATAAACTCTACAAAATGGCTATCTTTGATTTTTTGGAAATAATTAAATAAAAAAATATATTTTTTTACCCAAACATTAAAATAAATTTAAAAATGAAATAATCGTAGTTCTTATCCCTGTGAATCTTATTATAAAACCAGAATTTTGATATCTCCATTATTTCGATAGATATCACAATGGGTAAATCCTCGCGCGACACCCTGTATAATATATATTCTAAAATAAATTGTATGTGTGTGTTATTTCATGGAATAACCTTTGATTTGTAAAATGTATCATTTATATTTTGTAAGGAAAATAAATTGTCCCTCAGATCAGAGAACATGATAGATAAAATAGATAATGCACTAAATCCGACTTACGAATGAATGGATTACAAACTTTGAGTACCGAGATTGCCTATATAAAGCGCCGTGCTAACCTTTTTAAAAAATCATTATTATATAAAATATGAGCATAATGTAGCTAATGATAATCATAAACTATTATATTAATCATACCTTTCACATGAGCACATCACCGTTGGAAAATCCAAATTTTTATTAAATGTCTAATGCTTTTACTATTTTTTGATACACTGTAATGTGGTTGATCTGAGACATAATTAAACGCCATTAATGTTGTATTTCTTAGATTTTCTACAACCTCTTGGACATTAATTATGTCGCAGTGAACTCTATGTACATTTTTTTAAATGTAAGTCTATACGAGTAACTGGGAGAAATTTTTTTGCATAAAATACAATATSCGCTAAACAGCTTTAAATCAAATCYTCTGTTTTGATACCAAATCATTAATTTGTAATTACGATTAATTATTACACCAAAAATTGCTGAAACTGAACTTTTGTTAATACCTATTATGATATTTATACTTTATCAATTTGCTTTACATGAGTATAATGATTCGTGACACTTAAGGTAAAAATGAAACAATCTGACAATTATCTATTTCGGTAGAATAGAATAAGTTCGGATTATCATTCGTCTACCACTGTTTTCAAGTTAATAGAGTTTTTAAAATATATAACCATTCTAGCCTATAATAGTTTCGATTAAAAATAAGTTTTAAATTATTTTACTATTAGTTATTACCTACATTCTTATGGAATTTCATCAACATTTTAACTTAAATTATCTATAAAAAAAAATATGAATTTACCTTTTTAAGATTTTTTGGTTTCTGTAAGAATAATTCAAAAAGAATCAGCTTCTATTAAATTTCAAAACTTTTCTATTTGCTGACGAAAATAGAGAAAAAATGTGTATACAATTTTTTTTAAACCGTATCATTTATATAAAATGCTCATATAAATACATTTCATCAAATATAATTGCAAATCTCTCAATAACACATTTTTGAATGACAAAAATAAACAAAATCTATTTTGTCAACAACTGTTGTAGTTATTGACTAAAAATTCTAGTTATTTGATATATTATTTTATGTTTTTCCAATTGGTTTAAARAATCAAAAATTTTTACATTTTAACGTATTAGAATATAATATCAAATACATCTAATTTTCTTCCAAAAACCATCTTCAATGTAAATAATTGTAGTATTTTGATTCGTTCTGTATATATATATATGATGGTAAAACAACGATTTTAAAACAAATTTTCCAAAAAACATTATAGTGTTCTTCAAAGACATTTAAATTAATTCATTTAATACTACTTAACCAGTAAACCTTTTATTTTTAATGTAATCTTACTACTTAAATACAAAATGAGAACTAATTTTTGACACAGAGAAAAGTTACAAGAAAGATACAAAAAATAAATAAGTCAAATATTTCGGAAGTAGAGGAAGAGAAGATGCAAAATAGAATAAAAGTCACGGTAAACTGGAATCCTAAAGGAAAACTATGAAAGGTCATCATTAARGGGGATATATTATAAGAAATGGAAGTTACAGACTAGAAACCAAGAAGAATGAACACAGGGCCGATGAAAAGGATTAGTATTGGCTGAAAAGGTTCTTTAATAGCCGTGAAGGGAAATAAAAATTTAAATTTTAAATTATATTCTAAATATTTTACTACTATAGTTATATTTTTATAACATTTTTTCTATAAAAATATTTTTATTTAAGTTTGAAATACTGTTTAAGGTCAATTAAACTTAATAAAACTACAGATATTATTATTGCAAATATTACGATGTCAGTGTTTATCGWTGACAAACAATGAATGTAATTTATCGGTAGAATCTATTCAACGCCACTTCGATATTGTTTACTTATTCCCCATGAATGGAAATGATTAAATAAARTATTAATCTAATAAACTATTTATAATATTATCAAACACATTGGGATACGTATTATTATTTGTTAAACGTTAAAATCTAAATCTAAATATATCAAAACCTGATAATAATGAATAATGATATATGAATTTATGATAATACAAAAATAATGTATTTTTGATGGACACATAATAAGTATTTAAAAACTATATATACCTAAATTATACCTTATTTACTTCAAAATGTAAATGAAACAATCATATTTTAATAAATTATAATAAATAAATAAATATATATATGTTACCGGAAAAGATGACATTCAGTCAGTGTTGACAATGACTAGTCAATAACGATAAGGCCTGATTTAGTAAGGAATTAACGTCAATAACTAGTCATTTATGACAATTCCTAATGAAAGAAGGCATTGATGATAATATTAAAAATCGAATRATATATTATATTATTTATGAGCTATTTAGGATAAATCATAATCTTAAATTCTTAATCTTTATAATAATAATAATATATTATAAATTATAATACTTATTAGCTATTTATTATAAATCATAATCTTAATCTTTATTGTTACACGGTAGACTGTTATGACACTTAGAGTTACATAATCTAGTAGATGCACGACAAGCACATCTATTGGTCTTACACTGTGTTTTACAGTGGCATCTCGTAAAACCTTGGGATCCAGAAATGCTGTTAAAGGCAGCTGCTTCACGGAGAGTTATTTCTCCTCCCTCTTTCAATTTACTTACAACCGTTTCAAGATCTAGAAGCTTCTCCTTGCATGGGTTGATTTCTGTCCTGGTATACTTATGTTTCAGAAATCCATTTTCTGTACCTATAAAAATAATAATAATAAATAGTAAAAAAAAATAATATAATAAAATATTAAATTATATTAAGTTGTTTAAAATAATTATACAATTTATGCTTACATAATTTATATAAATTATCTTTCACATCAGTTATAACTGCCAATCAGATCGATTACCGATAAAGCGCGGTGTCGATATTTTTTTCTATTCGGATTTATAACATTGCCTAATATAATACGGAAATGTTGATAAAACTACGAAATATCCAACATTGTCTAATCTTTTCAGCCATTGTCAACAATGACTAGGATATGCCGACAATTCCTGAATTTTCATCTATTCCGGTAACATATATANTATATTCTAATGAACATAATAAGAACACGATCTGTTTTATATAAAATAGGTACGAATAATTCTAAATAATATATAATATTATCAATATAACGGCCAAATTGTATTATAGTGTTATACTTATTCGGGATATTTTGCTTCGTGTAAACTG